AGGCGGAGCTTGCAGTGAGCTGAGATCCGGCCACTGCACTCCAGCCTGGGCGACAGAGCGAGACTCCGTCTATAAAAAAAAAAAAAAAAAAAAAAGAATACGTAGTATTGTACTGTAGTTTAGGTAATCAGCCCTCTATTAATAGATACTTGGCTTGTTCCTAGTTTTTTTTGCTATTACTTCAGTGAACATCCTTGCTTAAGTATCTTTGTGTACTTGCCAGGAATATCTATACAGTAAGCTTTTAGAAGTAGAATTGGCAAATAAGAGTATTTTCAAGTCCTTTGCAGTATTCCTTCTGTTAGGCATGGCCAGGAGGTGGTATAGGTATGTTCTGTGACACTCACTGTAGTTTTGTAACCATTTCTTTGCCTTCTTCCTTCAAAATTTCCACTATTTTAGAAGCTCATAATGTAGTTGCACCGCTTTTTCCTGACTTCCTTTCCTGGTCACTTTTATTCCCTGAAGACTTTAGCTCTGGCTTACTTGTCCTCCTTTTTCTCCTTCTCTTTTCAAGATTTTCAGTGACTTTAACATCACTGTGGATTACTCATTTAACATCCTGGTCTCCTTAGCAATCCTGATCTTTTCTTCTACCCACTACAACCACCCACATCCATGCTTACAATCTAAACTTCTTCATTACTTCTTCTGAACCCCCTATGAAATCTTGAATTCAAAATATCTTTATCCAATAACTACCTCTCAGCTTCCAATTTACCTATACTAATACTCTTCTGTAATAATTCTTTGGCCTCATCAAATCTCCAATTCATTCACCAATACCTTTCTCATGATCCAATACACTCTCCTGTTTCCATTTCCCCAAATCCTAGTTGGACCCAACTAGTTGTCTTTTCCACGTTTAATCTGAAGCGGTTCAAAATTTCCAGAGGAAAGACACACAATTAAGCTTACTGGCTATATTTTAAATCAATGACCATAAAACTCTCTAGGCATTCAACCTTGCCTAGAACTCCTACTTATATTTCCCTACTAAACTTGATTCCTAGCCTACAGGATGACTGTTCCACAATGTTTTTTCTTTATACCCCTTATGTTAGCTGGTAACCTGGCATATTTTACTGAGAAAAATCAGACATGATGACCCCAGAGTCTCACCATCAAAACTACAAACCTATTGTATCTATACATATTGCTTTCTCTCCTGTTAAAATGAAAGTACCTCTGCACCTATCACAGGCAATCCCTCTATTTGTTCTCTGGATTCCTTAAGGACTTCACTTCTGTAGCACTTTCTTTCTCTTTTGCATTACCTATTTGCTCTTCTTTACTGGATAATTCTCATTGGGTTACACATATGCTCCAGAACCTCTTTCTCTTGAGCCCACAATTTCTTCTAGATACCACTCCATTTCTCTTCCTCCTTTATGCAATTTTTTTTTTTTTTTTTTGAGATGGGGTCTCACTCTGTCGCCCAGGCTGGAGGGCAATGGTGCAATCTCAGCTCACTGCAACCTCCACCTCCCAGGTTCAAGTGATTCTCCTACCTCAGCCTCATGAGCAGCTGGGATTACAGGCGCCTGCCGCCCACGCCAGGCTAATTTTTGTGTTTTTAGTAAAGACGGGGTTTTGCCACGTTGGCTAGCCTGCTCTCAAACTACTGACCTCAGGTGATCCTCCCGCCTTGGCCTCCCAAAGTGTTGAGATTATAGGCGTGAGCCACCATGCCTGGTCTGGTTCTTTCTTATGACTCAAAGCTCATCTTAAATATCACCTCTCAGATAGGTTCTCTCTCCATCTAAAGTAGTCCTCCCCACCCCTACAATTACTTTGAAGCTTATTACCCTATTTATTTCCTGGATAGCACTTAGTAAAATTATATTCTTCATTAGTTTACTTGTTTACTCATTGTCTCTATGTAAGTTCTTTGAGGGCGGGTACCTTGTCTTTCCTGTCACTTCTATATTGCCAGCATCTACAACAGCTCTTGACATACTGAAAGCATTCAATCAACATCTGTTGTATAAAAGGACAAAGCAACTGAATTATTAACTATATGCATACTTAGGTTATAGTGACAAATGGTAACAGATATTGACAACTGATAAATGTGCATTTTGTTCAAGGAATATAATTTTGAGCTTTGTGTGGGAATGAATTATGTAAATTAGAAAGGTTTTCTGCTGTGTACTGATCACGCACAGTACATTCTTCTGGTGGCCTATGGTTTCCCTTTGGCAATAAATAGCTAATTTCTTGTTCAGTAATTCTTATATAAATTCATAAGCAAATTAATGTTTTTATTTATCACATTAATGCGAAAGTTCAAGAATAGTTATGTTTTTTAAAAAGCCTCTCAGATAGGTGCATAACTTTGGGCTGGCGTTCATTCTTCCCACTTAGCTGACAATTCTGGATCTTGATCCCAAGGTCCTTAAACATTTTATCTGAATGAGTGTCTCTGAATTTAACACCAAATGTTCTGCCTCTCAACCTTGGACTTTTAAAAGATGATTTTTTTTCCTGTTCTGTACCAAATTACAGAAAAAAATTTTTTAAAGGACAACGTGAAAAAATACACTTTATCACATAAAAGAGTCATTTACGTATCTCAAAACATTTTTCCCATTCAGAATCTCATTAGGTTTATAAAACACTATACTTCCAAGGCTCTTAGATGTTTATTAACTGAAATAATAGAACAATTATGTCAACAGTAAAATTTTCACATTAATCTATCCAACAGGATTCAAGTATATATGTTAGCCCCTTTAGATAACATGTGGTCCAACTAAGAAATATAACAATATAATTTTTAACTAGGTAGAATTTATGTATACAATATTTAAAATTTTGGGTTGGCCTAAATAAGTTGTTCTGGATAAGTTTTGTTTTTATTAAAAATTAACCACTGGATTAAGATGACAATTATTGCTTCCTTTAGTTAATACTCAAAAAGAAAGCCATCCTTTGCTCCTGTGTAACAAATGTACTTTATTAATTAGGTCTCTCAGTTTGTGTGCTGGCAACATTTGGCAAAGTCCAGTCCTCAGTAAAAATAGTAACAACCTGCTCTGGAGGGCAATCAGGCAGCAAGTCTATTTTTGGCCTTAATGTTTGAAACACCAAATGCCAGATGCCATCGAACAGAACCTTAATTGGCATAAGTAAACTGGTTTGATACTGAAGTACAGAAGGATTTGAGGCACTCCAAAACACTTGTTTCTTTAGTACAAAAGAAATAAATGTTTCAGACTTAGCAGAGGAATTCATATCTAATACTGACATATGTAAAACCAAAAGAATCTTAACAGAAGAAAGGAGAAGAATGCTATAACCTCAGCTTTAGTGCTTAACATTACTCTAAATTTTCTATTTGTTCAGTGTTTCTGGCTTTTATTATTAATATCTTTGTTAGCTTACCTGTCTCTGAGTGTGCTGGGGCCTAGATAAGGATATAGGTTTTCCTTAAGCCTTCCTTTGATGAGATGATCCAGCGTTTCATGTAGGAAAGGTTGATGCTGTGTATATACATTTTCTACTCCCTAAAACGGGAAAATGGTTCTTATGTCATTTTTGGGAAACTAGCAATACAAGAATTAGTAATATTCATATCAGAAAAGGATATACACTCAATAGAGATTTCATGGGATAGATTTAAATAGGAACTGTGGTAAATTTCACAATTATTTTAATCAGTCAGAAATGTTCTAATCTCATAAAAATTACTCTGTAATTTAGGGCTAGTTATTGTAAAGGAATTTTTAAAAATGGGATTGCTTAAATCCTTTATCATGTCTTCACTGCCTCTTACCCTTCTGTGAAAATGTTAAATGATAGGTAGAGCAAATAAAAGGAAAGGATCATGTACAAAAAAGACTGGAAATACCCAGGAAAACAGAAAAACTTCAGGAAACATAAGAAAGGCTAGCAGATTAGAATTAATTTTTGAGTATTTTAAGAAAACAGTTAAGTATTTTTAAAAGATCAAATGTTTGCTTCATCTTTAATTTCCTTAAGAAACTACCTAACAAATCTTTAATTATAAACAAATGGAGTAAAATATCTGTGACTATCAGAACCATTTGTCTTTTTCTTCTTGAGTATTTCCCGGAAATATCTCCAGTTATTTCCCGCCCAGTTATTTGGTCCAATGCTGATACAGTTCTAATACAGAAAGCACTAAAAGAAAAAGCTTTCAAGAGGATGTCAGTTTTAATTTCATTTAATTGACATAGTACTAAATTAGCAGCAATCTTCAAGATACTTTGAAGATCATATTCATTCACTCTCAGCCTCAGGGGCTTCGACTGTTCTCACTTAGGAGAGCATAGAGGAGATGTCTATACCTTCAGTCCTTTGAGGAACTGTTTGGTGATAGCCACAGCATCTTTGGGGCTGAAGAGGTCACTTCCTCTGACTCGTTTACCACCATATTCAACAACTGCAGACACGAGCTATTAAGAGAAGCAAATTTTGATTGCTTAGGGATCAGGAAGCCCATTTCATAAGAAAATATTTTATTAAGCAAACAAAAATGAAAATACAGATTTATACATTTCTGTAAATAAAAATAATATGATTTATCATTTGTTAGAGCTAAGAATATAATAACAGAGTTGGTTCCTGTTTGGTGGGCTAATATGGAAACTGGTTACCTTTCGATACTTCTCAGAAACACCTTTATTCCTGAGGTCCATCATTAGTCCTGGCAGGCTATTGCTGCTGTGTCGCTCATAATGTAAAGCATAAAGCATCACCAGGCGGGCAGCATCAAACTCTGTCACTTTGGGGTTCTGCAGAAGCCTTTTTACATTCTGAAGAAAGATAGAACTTATATTTATCCCCCTTTCACTTGAGTGATCTGTTGTACAATGCCTTAGATCTAATAATTATTGAATGGTAGTGATACATCACTACTATGACAATTATAAGTCATATACTTAGCAACTGTCTCAACTATAGAAAATTAAATGCCTTTTGTCCAAGGTAAGAATTAAATAAGGAAATATATTTCCATTGTAATTGCTTTGCGACAAAAATGAATTTAATAATGGGTAGTTCCACTTTTCTTTTCTTTTCTTTTTTTTCTTTTCCACTAGCTGAAGTTGTAATTTCCTTGCTGAAAGAAGGAACTATTTCCACCACTTGAATCAATACAGCACAACAAAACTGACTACTTGATTTGCAAACCCTACTGCTTTCTCTTAGTAATAATGATTGACCAGTGAAATGGAGACAAAGTTGGTAGAATTTTACACAGACTGGGCTTAATCTCTAAGAAGCATCAGAACATGTCTCAACATGGTTGACAGAGGTAAGTATGTAATAGCACGTAATCTCTAAATTTAGTACTTAATGATTTTAAGAGGCAGGTACCGACAGAAAAGGGGGCCAGGAGAAGCCATGTTTACATTTTTTAATCTTCATATTCAGGACCTTCCATATAGTACAGATTTATATTTATTATACAGCAGAACAAATAATTTAATTTAAGTCAACAAATACTTTTTGAGTCCCCATAAGACAGTATCATGCACTGTTGCAGGCACACAGATAAGTTAAAGACAATTCCTGTTCCCAGTGAGTTCACAGTCAATGGGGTGAACGATGATCAAAGTAATATAATTTATTCTGCTACATACATGTTTCTTTAATGTACTTTAGTTCTGTGAGATGAATAAATATGGAAATGGTGTCAGTTTAACACAGAAGGCATATTGTTTCATATGTAATTTTTCCAGAATGGATACGCTTTCTTACGATTAAAGGGGAAGCCTTACCAATACCTTAAGAAAAAAAGATGATAATCCTACAGACGTGTGTTCTGCAAGAAGTACTTGGTTTTGTAGCTTCAAGAACTGTTGCACTTTCCACTGTGTTATGCTAAACAGGGAAAGGGCAAGTGCAAATACAAAGGATGCAAATATATTGCACTGTGTTAAAAAGCAAAACAAAACAAAATAACAATCAAACACTGATTGATGAAGAAAGCTATCTCCATATGGTATTTTTAATTTTGACAAAGTAGTCTTTATGAGAAGTGAGTATTTTCAAGACCTTATAATTTGAAGAAAACATGAGACCCAGGAATAAGGCTGCAGAGGATGGACTGGCTCTATTTCTAGGTGCAAATGCCAGTGGAGATTTAACCATGCTAGTATTTTTATTATAATTGTTACTATTTTTATTAGGGCTCTGATTAAAAAATTATATGAATTTTTTATTTCTTTTTATAGTCATGTAGATTTTAAGTGGTCTGCTTATAACCCTATATTCTCATAACCCTTTTTTTAGTGCATGTTTTTATAGAATGTGAGGTTTTTCAGGAACAAATATGTGGTGTTATAACAGAAACATATGTATGTAAAAAAACAAAAGAAAACAAAAAGCAAAAGCTGAAAATCAGTGCAAAAGAGGAAGGGGAGAGAAAGGGGAAGAGAAAATATACTGGGTTGTTGAGAAATTAGGAAAGACTTCATAAAGGAGGTGACAATTGCCAAAGGTCCTGAAGAATCAGTAAGTATTGGAACCAGTGTGAGAGACTAAAAACAGTGGCACTATCAAAATAAATATGGAAATCAGAGGAAGAAATGGCTTGGGTTGAAAGGCTGGCAAGAGCCTTAAAGGGCACTGAATTCTGAGGACATAATTATCAACTATATGATTACAACTTACAAAATGTTTTCACATACATTATCTCTTTTGTACCTGACAACAACCATGTCCAATGTCTAAGAGCTCTTCTGTTCACACTGACTAGGGACTATGATGATAATGGGGAACCTCCCATGTAGCTTTCAAGTACAGAGTTCTATGAGAGATATTTCTATTGTTGATTTTTTGGGTTACTATTTCACTACCATCATCCTTAAGGGATCAAAAAGGGAGAAACTTCTGTAGATTTTGACCCCAAATTTGTAAGATTTTTCTTATTTTTTTCCCTTCATGGTATCTTCCCCCCTAGAGCAGCCATGGAATACAGCCCATTTAGGGTACCTGCTCAAATGTTCCACTATTTTCTACTATAATATGAAGAAATTTCAGGTACAAATTATGTATGTATCTCAATCAACAGCATAAGTTTAAAACATTAAGAAATCTCGTTGGGGACCGGGCGTGGTGGCTCACGCCTGTAATCCCAACAGTTTGGGAGGCCGAGGTGGGTGGATCACTTGAGGTCAGGAGTTCGAGACCAGCCTGGACAACATGGTGAAACTCTGTCTCTACTAAAAATACAAAAAATTAGCAGGGTGTGGTGGCGGGCACCTGTAGTCTCAGCTACTCAAGAGGCTGAGGCAGGAGAATAGATTGAACCTGCGAGGCGGAGGTTGCAGTGAGCCAAGATTACGTGCCACTGTACTCCAGCCTGGGCGACAGAATGAAACCGTCTCAAAAAAATAAATAAATAAAACATTTAAAAAATTTTTTAAAAAGAAAAGAAATCCCACTGGGGATTTCTGTTGTTACTTTTCTTATAGGCACAATGTCTCATTTCCTGCCCTTGCAGTCACTCTCCTACCACCTTTTCTGGCTGATCTGTCTCTGTACTTTTAAGCAAATCTGAGAAACCCAAGTAACTATAAATTCACAAAACTGGTATGATGACAGTCAAAGACTATTTGCAGTAATCAGTCTCTGTCCTTTTCTAGTTACCTTCACATAGATCTTGACTCTTGGCTGTTTCTTATTAGAGATAAGTGTTGGTGATAACGTGGAGAAATAAGAACCCTTACACACAACTGGTGAATGTAAATTAGTACAGCCATTATGGAAAACAGTATTAAGGTTCCTTAAAAAATTAAAAATAGAACTACTATATGATTTAGCAATCCAACTACTTGGAATATATCCAAAGGACATGAAATCAGTATGTTGAAGAGATATCTGCATTCCTATGTTTACTGCAGCACTATTCAAAATAGCCAAGATATGAAATCAACCTAAATGTCCATCAACAGATGAATGGATCAAGAAAATGCAGTATTTAGGTCAGGCATGGTGGCTCAGGTCTGTAATCCCAGCACTTTGGGAGGCCGACGCAGGCGGACTGCTTGAGCTCAGGAGCTGGGGACCAGCCTGGGCAACATGGTGAAATTCTGTCTCTACAAAAATACAAAAATTAGCTGGGCATGGTGGTGCATGCCTGTAGTCCCAGCTACTGGGGAGGATGAGGTGGGAGAGTAGCTTGAGCCTGGGAGGCAGAAATTGCAGTAAGCCAAGATTGCACCACTGCACTCTAGCTTGGGTGATAGAGCCAGACCCTGTCTCAACAAAAAGAAAAAAAAGAGAAGAAGGAAAAGAAAATGCAGCATACATATATACATATATAATGAAATAGTTACTACTCAGCCATGAAATAGAATGAAATTCTGTCATTTGTGGCAAAACAGATTAACCTGGAGGACTTATATTCAGTGAAATAAGCCTGACACAGAAGGACAAATAGTGCATGATCTTACTCACATGAGAGTAAAAAGTTGTTCTCATAGAACTCATAGAAGTAGAGAGCATAATAGCAGTTACCAGAGGATGGGATGGTGAAGGATAGGGGTGGTTAGAAATTGGTTAATAGGTACAAAGCTACAGTTAGAGAGCAGGAATATGTTCTGGTGTTCTACTGCATAGTAGGATGAATAGAGTTAAAAGTAATGTATTACATATGTCAAAATAGCTAGAAGAGAGGTTTTTAAATGTTCTTATCGCAAAGAAAAGACCAATGTTTAAGGTGAGGGATATGCTAATTACCCTGATTTGATCATTACACAATGTATACATGTATTGAAACATCACATTGTATTCCATAAATCTGTACAATCATTATGCATCAATCATAAACAAAATCCACTTCTATTCCTTGAGACTTGGTACTGGTATTCAGATTGCTTGGCTTAACTCTTAGTTCTCCATTGAGGACTTGGCCCAGATCTGACCAGACCTACTTTGAGTAACTATTTTGCCTACTTTTGAGCCCTTAGGACCCAACTCATGGCTCAGGTCCATGTTCTAGCTAGAGGTATCTATTCTCTCATGAAAAGAAACCTGTAGGAGGCCGGGCGCGGTGGCTCAAGCCTGTAATCCCAGCACTTTGGGAGGCCGAGACGGGCGGATCACGAGGTCAGGAGATCGAGAACATCCTGGCTGACACGGTGAAACCCTGTCTCTACTAAAAAATACAAAAAACTAGCCGGGCGAGGTGGCGGGCGCCTGTAGTCCCAGCTACTCGGGAGGCTGAGGCAGGAGAATGGCGTGAACCCGGGAGGCGGAGCTTGCAGTGAGCTGAGATCCGGCCACTGCACTCCAGCCTGGGTGGCAGAGCGAGACTCTGTCTCAAAAAAAAAAAAAAAAAAAAAAAAAAAAAGAAACCTGTAGGTACAAGCTGAGTTCTTTCTTTTCTTTCAGCTGTATCAGTCCTTGGAGAAGCAGGACCTTTTTGTCTGCCTTGATCCCACTTTATCTTTTGGCTTCATTTTGAAGGATTTCCCTCATAGCTACTTATCAATTTGATTGATAGTGGCCTACGTTACACTGAGATTTCAGGGCACTAACCAGAGAAGAGGAGAAAAAAGAATCAGAGAGACTTATAATTACAAAGCAGGTATATGCTATACGGTAGTATTTATCTGTTGGAAAATAACTGAATTACATAATAGCCTTGTGACTATTAGAAAACGATACTGTCATATTATAACAATGACTGAGTAAAGAGCAAAACAGAAAACTGTCATCTACTTAAGAAGACAGGATTCAAAAACCTTGCACTGAACTCTAACATTTGTGTGGGCCTAATCAAGGAATAGGAAAAGAAAAGGAAAAGAAAAGCAAAAATAGTGTCTTTGGAGATCAAGTTTCCTAAAGGAACTAACATTCATTTATAAGATATCAGTGAGAAAACCATTCTTCTTTTCTGATATTTAGAGATTCTTCCATTGTTTCTGGCTGAACGCTTTTCTACTTTTCTGTTTTCTTCTATCAAAACTATGATGAAGCAGCAGAGCAAGAAGAAATCATTATGACATACACATATTTTAAACTATTATACAGATTACAGATGGTCTTGGTAATTAAAGATAGTCTCCATTTTTTTTTGTTTTAGTTTAACCTAAAGAACAGGATCCCTTCTTTGTTATCTACTATAGTAATATAGTAAAGTCAGAATATAACAAAATAAACCAACAGATTAGGACAGTAAGATGGAATTGGCAGAAGTCTTCTACATGCTGATCTGATAAAAATGAGCCTAACAGTCTGAGAGAACAGTGTTGTGTGAATATAAAAAGCTTATCTGGGAAAAATGATAGAAAGCAGACAAGACCCAATTCTACTGACTGGTAAATACATCTGAGTCAGTATTCCTTTTCTTAATGACTAGTCAACATAAAATTTAGCTTTGCAGTAGATCTTCCGCTGATCAACACTGTTTCTAAAATACTGGCTAAATGTTGTTTTAGAGTAAAAGGATCATTTTTACATTTAATTAATCAAAGTAAAACTGCCAGTCAGTTCAATGTGTCCCAACCACTTTTCTTATAATTTTAATGAGTGGCAAAAACAAAAACAAAAAAACACTTTTAGGAAATCAGAGAGATACGAGGCTATCAATGAACTAAAAAACAAGTCTTGGATGCCATTAAGAAAATTAAATGTATCATCAAATAATAACACTCGTAATGTTGGTAGTTAATGTTTCTTGAAAGCTGTAAGTACCAAGTACCATAAGCGTTTTACATGTATTAGCTCATTGCACTCTCACAACAATTTTGAGGTAAGACTGAGGCTTAGAGTGGTTAGGAATTATTTTCAAACCCAAGCCACCAAAGGTCCAAGTTCTTAGCCACTACTCTATACTGCTTCAAATAGAGCTCTTACTCCTCATTTTTCTAATAAATATTGATTGAGTCCTTATTAAGTATCATTAATAGGATGATTTGAGATCTTTATGCAAGGTCAGGAAAAGATATAAAATAGACTGGTTCCTCTCTCCATATGAAAAGCTGTGATATGACAACACAGACTGGGCATTGGGGGCAGGGTATGGGGAAGATGGTGAGGGTGGAATTGCTCACTTTCTAAAGATGCCTTTTCTTCATGGTATGGCAAATCTTCATTACTAATCAAATAAATCTCTTCTAAGGATATGTATATGTTTCAGTGGTAGTAAATTTCACTTTGGTTCTAGTGAAATTCTTTCTAAATGAAATTTTCATTAGCCTACAAAATAATGGTTAGAATGGCAGCAATTTTTAAGTTAACTTTTAGCAATATGTGAACTTTTTTTTCTTGTCATGATACTTACTATTCAATAAAGCAAATCCCATCTCTACTCACAAACCTCATTTCACTGCTTCATGACATATTATCATCTAAGGTCAAGCCAAGGAATGCTATAACCCCTCTAGAAGTCAGGCCCCTGACATCCACTTACTATCAAACAAAAGATTCCTTTATAGACTATTTAAGTTGTGTTGCCAAAGAAGTCCTTTATGATGGGGGGACTCCAAATCAACTACTCACTGTAAAATCCCAATACCCTAGACAAGAAAACCTTCAAAAGATAAGTTTTAAAAATAAAAAGTGGATCACAAATATAATTTATATTTTTAAAGTGACTATTTTTCTTTTGAAGTGAACATAAAAATAAAGTTTCAGACAAGTTATTACAATAACTTTTTCTAATTGCTTTCCATATGTAGAGAGATACAAATAAAGACAGTAAAACTGGTTAGTGATTAAGTCTGGTTCTACTGTTTCCAAGGGAAAAATCAAATGATAAACAAATATAAGAAATTAAAATGTAGTTATGGGACACAATTTTGTTTTTTATTTAATATGAGGCAGAAAACTCATTTTTTTGGTGATAAATATCAGGACATTTCTATTAGGCCCACAAAACAACTATAAAATATTATTAGTAGTGTTGTTTAAAGGCCATGTTAAATACATTAGGATACATCTTTACAAAGGATACTATTTAGTGATTAAAAAGAATGCGACTTTAGGTTCTGATCCAAAACCCAACAACAATAAATCCCAGTAAAGACCCTGGTATAACTAGAGCACCCACAGGTAGACTTTTTTCTTTTGGTTGCACTATGTGTAAAAAAAAAAAAATCATGCTTAGAGGAAGGGAACCAATATTTACAAAACACCTATTAAATGTGAAGCATTTTACATATCTCATTGAATCATCGTAACAGTCGGAAAGTTTGAAATCATTATCCCCAAGACTTGGGCAAATTAAGTAATTTTCCCAAAGAAACTTTGGTAAGGAGAGGTAGGATATAAGTCAGGCCAGTCTGGGTCCAAAACCTGAGTTGTTTCCAATATACCAGGTTGGCATTATCTTATAGAATAAAGTGGAACTGTAGCTGGGAAAGAAAGAAGCTAAGCTTTAGAATATAGGGTCCTATTAACAGGGAAATCTGCTTCTTGTAAGTGGCTTAGAAATGGCTATTTCCTAAAGGACTTGTATTCCTAAATTACTTGTCAGTGACATCATACTTTGTCATTTCTCAGGAATCATGGAATTACCTCTGATTTATTCTATCTTTATATCCAGCCTGTCATTTAATTTCTTCTCCCTTTGAAATGTTTTTCAGTTCTGCCCCTTGCTGTAGATTTTTGCTACTATCACTGTAAGTCTACAAGTCTCTCTGACCTGTTTTTTCACCTCTAAAGCATCCTTACTAGGTTACATTTCCTAAAATACTGCCTTCACCACCTCAACTTTCTACATAAGATCCTATACTGGATCTCTTTGCCTATCCCAGCAGGTATAAATTCTTACAAGCCTCTTCATAAAGCTTGTAAACTGTTTTTTGTTTACCAATTCAATTTTATCTAATTCTGTTTCATACTCACTCTCTACAGGTCAAACTGTTTATTACTTCCTGCATACTTCTACATCTTTGCTTTTGCTGTTCCTGACTGAACTCCTCCCCCAAATTCTATTCATTCTTTGTGGTCCATCCTAATCTTGCCTTCTCTAAGAAACTGTTCCTAATAACCTCAAAACCTGTTACAGTCAGTATTACAATTATGACTTAATTATCATCTTGAAACATTATCGAATTTTTTCTTGTGCTTTAGTTTTGTGTCTTCAACTAGACTATACATTTCTTGAGGCCAGAGTCTGATTATATTGCTATTCTAAAATCCTCTGGGAGGCCCCATCATTTTAAGATTAAAGCCCAACTTTCTTCCAATGGCCATAACCTGGCTTCAGTCAGTCTTTCTAGTCTAAGACCACTCATCTTGTATCCTGTACTAGCCACACTGAACTATTCTCTGTTCCCATATATATATTTAAATATATGTATATTTCAAATATAAATAATTTATATATAGAAAGAAAAAAATATATATATCAATATTTATTTCTTCACATCTTCATGCCTGCATTCTCTCTGCTGAGAATGTTTCTTCCTTTTCCCTGTTTGATGTTATTTTCCCTAAGAAGTGCTAAGAAGCCTCATCCTTTGGGAAAACAGTTGTCCTTCCTCTGTATTTCCATATTCCTTTGTAAATACCTCTAATATAGCACATAGTGCATGGTGTTACAATTGCTGGTTTAAATTTCTTTCTTCCCGACTATAATGTGGTATCTTATTCATCTTTGTATTCCTAGATCCTCACAGCAGTAGTATGTACATATAGCAGGCATCAACATGTTGGTGCGATGAAAAGCAGACTTCAATAATGAAAAAACTTAGATAATACATTTTAATACGCGTTTTATCTTTTAAAGTCTTCCTAACCACTCTGTAAGATAAGTATTAATATACCTATTTTACGAATAATGAAACTGGCTCAGAGATTAAGTCAACAACTCCACATCACAAAGCCTGTAAGTGGTATACCAAACACTCCAATCCAGATCTTCTGATTCTAGTTTAGTGCTCTTTCTAGTAGACTAGGCTGCCCTCATACTAATTAACTGAACGCTTAAGAATTGCACATTACACTTCTCTTGTGTCTCTTTTTATAGATCTATCTTAAACAATATCAATTTGTGTTCTCATCTCAGCTCCTTGTCGGACTAAATTCCATGTTGGCGAAGAAGGATTACTTGCCTTTTTATCTCTTGCTCTGCCTGGCACAGTGCCTTACACATAGTAGGTGCTCATCAAATTGGACTGACCTGGAGAGCACTAGAATGGTCATTTTGACAGGCCAGTTCTTGCTCAACCTCTGAAACCTCCAGCAGATTCCGCTCACTGACCAATCGAGACAATTCTCCAACCACTGTCACATGCTTTGAAACAGTCCCAGACATTTTCTTGAACTGTGGATAATTCTCAACAAAGGCCTGCCATGGGAAAAACATCAATGAGAGGTTCTGTTATTTTTTGACCAAGGATAAGCATGTATTGAATGGGGGGGTAGGGAAAGCAGGGGATGTTTTTCAGCCCTGATTAAAGCATCTACAACTTTCAGCCACATGGCATTTTGTTATGCTTAAGAAGAGAAGAACTGGTATATGTTGGTAGACTGTTTGTTTTTTTTTTTTTTTGAGACAGAGTTTCGCTCTTGTTGCCCAGGCTAGAGTGCACTGGCGTGATTTCGGCTCACTGCAACCTCCCAACCTCTGCCTCCCAGGTTCAAGCGATTCCCCTGCCTCAGCCTCCTGAGTACATGGGATGACAGGCATGTGCCACCATACCCGGCTAATTTTGTATTTTTAGTAGAGATGGGGTTTCACCATGTTGGTCAGGCTGGTCTCGAACTCCTGACCTCGGGTGATCCGCCCACTTTGGCCTCCCAAAGTGCTGGGATTACAGGCGTGAGCCACTGTGCCTGGCAATAGATTGAGTCTTTATATAGTCCAGATATTACTGAAGAATGGAAAGAAGCACATGGTTTATTATGAATTTTTCGCTATATTGTTTAAAGACATTACAGAAAATAAGCCTCAAACCAAATAAAATCAATCAAGGTAGAAATCAGACCCAGAAGATTCCAAAAGTGTTGCTTACATGAATAGTTCCAAACTCTCACATGTTAGTCATTCATGTACGTGCTCAATTTACCTTCATGTCTGCTATTGATTCTAGTTTTTGCTGTTCTTTTGGTTTCTTCTTCTGAAAATCTTCCATGAGATTCTTTATATTGCTACCAATCTCAGCAAAGTTCAGGTACATATTCTGTGAAAAAGAAAGGTGGAAGCACATCATCAACTAGTCTGACTTTCAGAAAATTTAAAAGAAGTGAGAAAGAATTCGGAACGCAGAATTGAAGGGCAGGGAAATTCCATTTTAATTACCAAATTTGGACATTAGCTGGGACACTGGTGATGAATAGCATTACTATTCTCACAAACAGCTACTGGAGGGGAGAGAAGTAAATAACTACGTGATCTCTATGAAAAAAATACTGCTAAAGGGTCAGAATCCAAATCTTCTGCCTTCCCTTGAGAGGCAGTTTATGCACAGGATGCCTCTATCATCCTTTCACATGAAATCCCATGTCTGCCCCCAATATTGATCTTCTTACATAAAAACAACTAAAGACAATTAAAAAAAATTTAAACCACCTACATTAGCATAGAATTCATCATTTTCAGCAGATAGGACCACCTCTCTTAAGTCTTTACTGATCCCCGGCACTCTGGAAAGATCAATCCGATTGTTGTTTATGCCTAGTAGTTCATGGACCATGGCCTGATATGTCCACTAAATAAAGAATTATGAAAAAAAAAGGTAACTGACAAAATATGGAAATAGTAAACATTCAAGAAAACAAAAACTGATAACATTCTTTAGTCTTCTTTACATGAAGATTCTCTAGTTAAATTTTACTAATAATTTGTGCTATCATAAGCATTAAGATTGTCATTTTAATTGACTAAACACTGAAAAAAAGTCAAAATACTTTTAGATTTCACATTTTTGGAAAAAGGGCAGCAAGATTAATATTCTTAATAGAAAGACAACAAATTAGAGCTATCATTAGCTCCAATTTTTTGCCTGTGAATTAAGGGTATATTTTTGGCTTCACAGATAGAGCTATATTGGTACTGCAGTTACAAGCTGTACCATTTCCTGTATGCTTCTGTGGTTTTCTGCAGCATGAGAAGTGTGTTCTTGCAGATTTGAGTGGTACTATATTTATCCTGGGAACACTAATATTATCAGAAAAACCTTGTGAGTTGATCAAAACACTGGGAGATTCAGAAACTTACCTCTGAATCCATTTCATTTTATATTTTTACCTAATGGGAGTTGTGAGGAAGGACTGGTTTCCAGTCTCACAAAATGTGAATTTATTTGGTAAAACTGGAAATGAGAAATCTCCAAATTTTCCCTTTTCACCATTTATGGAGAATAGATTACTTTCAGTCATAGGTCTGTTAGACAAAATGAAGTATTTTCTAGCACGTTCCCTTCTGCATCTAGAATCTAAATGCTAGAAATGTTTACATACATATTTTATCTTAAGAAAATTAGATTTATTAACAAATAATTTAGAAGGTTATAAAAGAAGGTGCTTATTTCCTAAAAGATTTGCCAAAGGAATTCCTGAAAAAGCAAGTTCCATTAGAGCACTTAAAATAAATACAAGGCTGGGCATGGTGGCTCATGGCTGTAATCCCAGCATTTTGGGAGGCCGAGGTGGGTGGATCACTTGAGGTCAGGAGTTCGAGACCGGCCTGACCAACATGGTGAAATCCCATCTGTACTAAAAATACAAAATTAGCCAAGCATGGTGGCGCATTCCTGTAATCCCATCTACTCAGGAGGCTGAGGCAGGGAATCGCTTGCACCCGGGAGGCAGAGGTTGCAGTGAGCCGAGATCCCACCATTGCACTCCAGCCTGGGCAATAAGAGCAAAACTCTGTCTCAAAAAAAAAAAAAAAAAAGTACAACAAAATGTTTTATGTTTTTACAGATAGCTTCTTGTGCATGCTTCTAGCATTTACTCTATAATTAAAATTATGTTTATTTCTCTCATCATTGCACCATGGGCTCTTTGAGGGCAGAAATTATAATTTTTAACCTTTTATCTCTAGTATTTAGTTTAGTACGTGGCACAAAACAAGTCCCCAGTGAAATCTGTGGGATAAATAGTTGCTTTTCTTTGCAAGACAGAATAATAGGCAATTAATTTTCTTTCCACTTTTTGATATTATCAAAAGTTTCTTTGGTGAACATATATTACTCTGAAGTTAGGAATATAAGGTTATTTTATACTACAGAGAAGTTTCACTCCACAGATTTCCCTTAGCATATAAGCTGGGAAGAAACTGAAACATAGATTGTGCCTTTCTCTATAAATACAAAGTCACAGCCAGGCGCGGTGGCTCACACCTGTCATCTTGGCACTTTGGGAGGCCGAGTCGGGCAGATCACTTGAAGTCAGGAATTTGAGACCAGCCTGGCCAATATGGCGAAACCCTGTCTGTACTAAAAATACTTAATACAAAAATTAGCCAGGTATGATGGTGCACGCCTGTAATCCCAACTACTCAGGAGACTGGGGCATGAGAATTGCTTGAATCTGGGAAGTGGAGGTTGCGTGAGTTGAGATCACGCCAACCTGGGTGACAGAGAGAGACTCTGTCTCAATAAATAAATACATACATACATATAAAATCACTATTGATAGAACACCTGCTATGTGCACTGTTCTTATGCTTGCAGGAGAAAAAATAGTCTGCCTTGAAGAAATATGTAACGTAGGAGACGGTGTAAACAACCAAAGCTACAACATGGCAAGTACAGCATGAGACATGAGAGAGACACAAAGGTCTACAGGTCTATAGGAATTTTCAGGAGGTAAGAACAATATCTGACTGAAAGAATACAGGCTTCAAGGAGATGTTGAAGAATGGCTGGATGTTGGAGATGGCTTTTGAGTGTTTTTTTTGAGACAAGAGTTTCGCTCTTGTTGCCCAGGCTGGAGGACAGTGGTGTGATCTCGGCTCACTGCAACCTCTGCCTCCCAGGTTCAAGTGATTCTCCTGCTTCAGCATCCCGAGTAGCTGGGATTACAGGCGCCTGCTACCACGTCCGGCTAATTTTTTTCTATTTTTAGTAGAGACAGGGTTTCATCATGTTGGACAGGCTGGTCTCGAACTCCTGACCTCAGGTGATCTACCTACCTCGGCCTCCCAAAGTGCTAGGACTACAGGTGTGAGTCACTGTGCCCGGTTCTTCTTCTTTTTTTTTTTTTATTCTTTACTATTATTCATATAAATCATTTTATTTATTTATTTATTTATTTTTGGAGACAGAGTCTCGCTCTGTTGTCCAGGCTGGAGTACAGTGGCATGATCTCAGCTTACTGCAACCTTCGCCTCCAGGGTTCAAACGATTCTCCTGCCTCAGCCTCCCAAGTAGCTGGGACTACAGGTGTGTGCAACCACACCCAGCTAATTTTTTTGTAGTTTTAGTAGAGACAGGGCTTCACCACGTTGGCCAGGCTGGTCTTGAACTCTTGACCTCAGGTGATCCAGCCATCTTAGCCTCCCAAAGTGCTGGAATTACAGGAATGATCCACCATGCCTGGCCAGATTGAGTGGTTTTAACAGCAGTATTTTGATAGGTGAAGATAGGAAGACAAGGTACTCCAAACATTCTAGAGTTTAGAAAGCAGTCACAGTAAAAGCATGCTGGCAGGAAACCATGTGGCATTATCTACGTAAGTAGTGAGCTCTAGGTTTCATAAGAGGTTTAGCCCACATTGTGAAGGCTCTTGGATGCCAAGTTCAGGAGTTTTTTAACCTAGTAGGCAAATGGGAACCAATGAAGGTTTTTAAGCCAAGAGTAGTAAGATAGAGCTGTGCTTTAGGAAAAGTTTTCATTGTATTTGTGGAACATTTAGAGTAAGAAGAAATAAAAAGTAGGGAATCAAGTAGATGACTATTTCAATATTCTTGCAAGAGATTAGGGTCTAGACCAAGGCAATAGCTGTAAGAATGGAAATGAGGAGACAGACGGAAACACTGGAAAATAGAATCTACAGAATTAAGAAGCTGTCTTGATTAGGCATGGAGGTACTGGCAGAAAGATATGGGAGGGATGAGGCAGAAGAGTTAATGATGACAGTGGATGGAAGAATCATGATACCAAAACACCGGAAAATGCAAAGCAAAACCAAGAATAGCTAAAAATAAGGAGGCAAATAAGTGGACCATGCTTTTATTTCCATATCTGTATTTTGATGAATATCACTTAAATCATCCTCCTATTATGCCAAGAAAGGGTTTTGTACCTGGTTTAGCAATGGGGTGATGGCATCATCACAACGATCTAAAATAAGGAGCAATGGAGGAACCTCTGTCCGACGGAATTCAAACAGTTCATATTCTTTAGTTATCACTTGCTGTGGGTGAGAAAGAAAGATGGTTTGTGCAACCAACTAGTTACACACAGAGATGATATAAATAGGAAATTAATAAACGCTACATTTAACAATAGTTCTTTGCATCCACATAGATCTTCCATATGAAGGATTCAAAAGTCTCACAAAGTTTAGTAGCATACTATTTAAGAGGTTAGAATTTGAAACCCTATTTTATAAGTGGTTTAACTGGACCAAAAAAGAGTTAAATAGCCTGTGTATGTTTCTTGCGGTAAACCTAAGAATCTTAGCTCTAAATGTTGCTTTTTGTTTTAAATCACATATACCTACCTCTTTGCTTAGAAACCTAACATACAAGGCCGGGTGCAGTGGCTCAAGCCTGTAATCCCAGCACTTTGGGAGGCCGAGATGGGCGGATCACGAGGTCAGGAGATCGAGACCATCCTGGCTAACCTGGTGAAACCCCGTCTCTACTAAAAAAAATACAAAAAACTAGCCGGGCGAGGTGGCCGGCGCCTGTAGTCCCAGCTACTCAGGAGGCTGAGGCAGGAGAATAGTGTAAACCCGGGAGGTGGAGCTTGCAGTGAGCTGAGATCCGGCCACGGCACTCCAGCCTGGGCGACAGAGCGAGACTCCGTCTCAAAAAAAAAAAAAAAAAAAGAAAAGAAACCTAACATACAATCATGTCCTTGGTTGTAAATAAAATGTTGCTTTAGTTTTTGAAATATGATAGAGAAATGAATGGCCATTATGTTTTGGAACCAGGAATAGGTAATGCCATACCTTAACACACTCTGCAAGTCTCTTTGCTGCCTCTGATGAGAGCTGATAACGAATCATGGGACATTTCTTCAGAGATAAAAGGAGAGCTGTAAGCCCTTGAGTTGTTCTAGATAGCTGGGCTGGATCCCAATTTCGACCCTTTTTGTTAAAAACATATATTCAGAGAAAATATTTGAAATTTCTCTTACAAGTCTAATTATTTGCTGAATTAACTCTCAACTGATAAATTAAACCTTTCCTTCCATACCTGACAGCAACCCAAAATATTGAGGGAAAACAAATGTGGGTTCACAGCAATGTAATCACCATAAAATTCCTGCAAATAAAGCACCAAGAATAGTCATTCCATAAACTTCAATTGTATCAAGCAGTAATATTGTCATATGTGATATATAATATGATATAACCAAACTTGGTGAAAAACAGGTGTAAAGAGACACAAAATTGTTCAATTAATAATTGAGTAACAACAGTCAATGTGGGAGAATTAAAATAATTACAAAACAGTAGCAATAACAATAAATCTAAAAAATAAAAGTTGTAAAGGTATACACATTGTATTTCTGGAGACCTCTATGCATACTTATCAATTAGTAAAAATAACATACTGCTAATAGGAGATATAATGTTCTACTCAGATAAAAAAGAACTTTGCTGTCCAATGTGTTGTCATGAGAGAGAATATAATTTAAAACAGGTCATTCTTTTTATTCATTTATCACCTATCACATCCTTCTGAAAAATTCAAAACTAGTTTATCTGCTGCCTCTGAAAACAATATTCCTCACTTATGTGATAAACATATTTAAGTGTTCATAAAAAAACTTCGAGACAGACCTTTCCTTATTTTTTATTTTTAGACTCAAATATTTAAAAAGGGCCAACATACGAGATGTGTTACAGGACCAATATGTTTACCTGAACCTCAGCCACAACTTCCTGTTCATCAGCTTCAGCCAATGACTTCACGTCACTCTTGCTGATCACATTACTGAAATCTGAAACATACGAGTTGGGGTTGACTCAAAGGAGATAATTTCTGCTGCAAGTATATGTAAAAGGGCCTGATAGTTAAAGCCTAATGAATAAGTGACCTTCAAACTGGAATGGGTAGCACAAATATATTTAATCCACAAATTCATAATTTTATATATATATATTAAAAGGACCGCCGGCGGGCACAGTGGCTCACGCCTGTAATCCCAGCACTTTGGAGGCTGAGGCAGGTGGATCATGAGGTCAGGAAATGGAGACCATCCTGGCTAACACGGTGAAACGCCGTCTCTACTAAAAATAAAAAAAAAAAAAATTAGCCGGGTGTGGTGGTGGGCACCTGTAGCAGCCCCAGCTATTCAGGAGGCTGAGGCAGGAGAATGGTGTGAATCCGGGAGGTGGAGCTTGCAGTGAGCCCAGATCAGGCCACTGCACTACAGCCTGGGCGACAGAGCGAGACTCTGTCTCAAAAAAAAAAAAAAAAGAACCACCATCGGAGGGATTGGAGAATGAGAACACTAGGGAACCAAGTCATTTTATTGAAAATAGCGAATAAGGAGAAAGAAGTAAACTTTCATCCTGTGTTTTATATATAAACTGTACTACCAGGTAACCAAATAGATGAGGGAAAATTTTTCTTTGTGAAAATATTCCGGCTCAAAAATAACTAACGAATGTTAATGACAGAATTAGAATATCATCATTTTTTCTAACCCCTAATGAATCAATTGAATGGACCCAGGCATTGAGCATCAGCAGCTGCTAATATCAAAAGAATAAATAGCCAATGAAAGTACACAATACCACCTATAAAGTATTCTCGCCAAGAAGAAATCGAATCTTAACCTAATTAAGGCTCTGTATTGACCTATGAATTTACAGGAACCAGAAGATAGAGGAGTATTTTAAACTTCAAGGAACATGTTAAACTACCCCATGGCGATGCAATCAGCAAGATCCAGACTATGGAAAACTTAACAGTTTCTTCAATAAATAAATTGCATGGGGCAGCAGGCGCAGGGTGGGAAGACCTATACAGAAGATTAAGAAACTTAATCAACCAACAGCAATGTGTGAACCTTACTTTGATCCTGATTTTAAAAAATTGTAAAAAAAAAAAAAAAAAAGAGACAATTTTAAATTTGAACGCTGTTTGAAAATAGTACTAAGAGTTCAAGACCAGCCTAGGTAACATCACTTGAACCTGGGAAGTTGAGTTTACAGTGAGCCGAGATCATGCCACTGCACTCTGTCTGGGTGACAGAGGGAGACTCTGTCTCAAAAAAAAAAAGAAAAAAAATAATTATTTTTCATTTTTAATCTACATGTAATAATGGAAACGTGCTTTTTAAAAAATGAGTCCTTATCTTTTAGAGATGCATACTGAAATACTTATGGAAAAAATTATATAACGTCTTAGATTTGCTTTAAAATAATATTGGTGGGGGAGTAGGTGACAGTATAGCTAAAACAAGATTGGGTGAGGCTCAATAACTGTTGAAACCAGCTGATAGGTACATTGGGACTTATGATACTATTCTACTTTTGTATGTCTTTAAAAGTTCGGTGCGGTGGCTCACACGTGTAATCCCCTCACTTTGGGAGGCAACGGTGGGCAGATCGCACTTGAGGCCAGGAGTTTGAGATCAGCTTAGTCAACACAGTGAAATCACGACTCTCCTAAAAATACAAAAATTAGTTAGGCATGGTGCCATGGGCCTGTAATCCCAGCTACTTGGGAGGCTGAGGCAGGAGGATCGTTTGAACCCAGGAGGTGGAGGTTGCAGTGAGATGAGATTGTGCCACTGCACTCCAGCCTGGCGACAGAGTGAGACTCCATCTCAAATAAATGAATAAATGAATGAATGTTCCGTAACAAAACGTTTTTTTAAATAAAGAGAGGGGCCTATTACACAAGAGATTTAGTAACATAAAAATATTTTTAAAAAGTATAAAAGAGAGATGAACAAGCTAGCTTAGTACTGATATAAATTGTGCTGCAAGTTAGTAATGAATAAAATCACTACATACAAATTCATTTTAGTTTACATCAATCAAATAAAATTCTGAAATTGATTATGCCATCCAAGAAATCTGAAGTCTACTTTTCATAGGCTGTGGTGCTAATATAATTTTTTTCTTCTGCTTCATAGATTTACAGTCCAAATCAAACAATTTTTAGAACCAGAAGAGTAAACACTAGATTAACCATTATTAATGTCAACTGCTACAAAGAACTGTTTAGAGGAAAAAGGAGTCTTTCACCTCATGACCAATTCAATTTTTAGCCAAGAGATTCAGCAAAAGAGTAATTCTGTTATTATATATGTCTACTTAAACTTGGCAGCACAGGGGATATATGTACATATATACCTACATATGTATATGTGATTTATATATATTTATATATGTATATGTGTATGTGTATATATACACACAAATATATCAGAGATCTAGCTTGTGATCATACTAAAAATACCAGAATAACTACACACCTATGCGAATGGCTAAAATACAAAATAGAGACAACACCAAATGCTCCCAAGGATGCAAAGAAACTGGTTCACCCATGCATTGCTAGTGAAAATGTAATATGGTATAGACACTAAGGAAAACATTTGGCAGTTTCTTAATACAAAAAATATGCAATTACCATATGACTCAGCAGTTGCACTCCTGGGGGTTATTTATCCCAGAGAATGAAGGCTTAACTTTCACATAAAAATCTGTACACAGATATTTATAGCAGCTTTATTTGTAATAGTCAAAAGTAGAAACAAGTCATATGTCCTTCAATGGTGTATAGTTAAACAAACTGTGGTACATTTATACCATGGAATACTACTCAGCAATAAAAAGAAATGAACTATTTTTAAATTAAAAAAAATTTTTTTTTTGCAACTCCAGCTCAAAGGAGGAATGAACTATTAATACACACAACAGGCGAGGTCTGGTGGCTCATGCCTGTAATCCCAGTACTTTGGGAGGCTGAAGCAGGTGGATCACCCAAGGTCAGGAGTTTCAGACCAGCCTGGCCAATGAACATGGTGAAACCCTGTCTCTACTAAAAAAAATACAAAAATTAGCTGAGCGTGGTGGTGTGCACCTGTAATCTTAGCTACTCGGGAGGCTCAGGTGGGAGAATCGCTTGAACCCGTGAGGTGGAGGTTGCAGTGAGTTGAGATGGCGACACTGCACTCCAGCCTGGGTGACAAAGCAAGACTCCTTCTCAGACAAAAAAACAAAAAAGCAAACACACACACACACACACACACGCACGCACGCACGCACGCACACATACCAGCCTGGATGACTCTCCAGAGAATTATGCTGAGTAAAAAAAGTCATTCCCAAAAGGTTTTATGCTGTATGATTTCATTTATAGAACATTCTTCGAATGATAAAATATAAAATGGAGAAAATATTAGTGGTTACCAGGGTTAATGAGGGGGTTGGCGTGGGAGAGAAGTCCATATAAGCTAATAAAAGGGCAATATAAGGGATCCTTATAGAGATGAAAATGTTCTGTATCCTGACTGTATCAGTGTTAACATCTTGGTTGTGATATTGTACTATCGTCATGTAAGATACTACATGGGGGAAGCTGGGTAAAGGGTATCTGCGATCATTTGTGTTTTTTTGTTTTTTTGTTTTTTTACAGCTGCACACAAATCTACAATTACTTCAAAATAGAAAGTTTAATTTTAAAAAGAAAACCTGTGACTATTAGCCAAAAACAAACAAAAATTAAGATGCCACAGATTAATAAAATTGCCTATTTTTACCTCTTGGGGCGTTGTGCACTGAAAACCCACTGGACGAGCTTTATATAACTTTTCAGTTCTACACAGAAGTGAATGAAATAAAATATGAGAGAGCTCTTATATATAGTCTTTTCACAAATGTTAATTTTTTGTATCATTATTCCATTTAAGTAGTATACGCTGAAGAAAGTACGTATGTCTTAGACTGTAGTCTAAACCCTAAAACTCTAATACCTTTAAGTAAGCTTTAAAACTTCTCAAATGCCCTACTTACTGTTAAATCTAGTCCTTGGTTTTGGAAATATTACCAAACAGACTACACTAATACTATTAACATAAAGATCAATAATGACATCTAGAGGAGAATGGATGTAACTTCCACAGTCAAATGTATTGGATCAAAAAAATCCATGTAAATTGTATAGTAAATACAAACCTAGTTTATTTCCAGACCTCCCCTACCTAACCCCCAACCCAAGAAAGTTGTGCACATAAGAGATCACTACCTGATGATTTATACTTTCAATGCATTAAATATAGTAACAAAGAGAAGTGAAAGGCTTTTATCTGGTATGTAAAGTAAATCTCTGCTTTTCCAACAAACTCAAGTATTACCTTCCCACTTCAAAAAATAAATCAGCTTCCATGCCTCAATTCCTAAGTGTAAAATGGGGATAAGTATATACTTTTTTTTTTTTTGGCAGGGGTGAGATGTAAAATTTGTCTACTTACAACTTTTGACTTACAAAGCATCTTGAAAGGCAAAGTAAAACGTAAAATTTTTAATTTAAGTAATCAAAGATGAATGGAAATCACCTTTAGCCCTCTGAAACAGAATATTGGTCAAAAGCTGTTTTTGTTTTTTTTTTGAGACAGAGTTTCGCTCTTGTTGCCCAGGCTGGAGTGCAATGGCACAATCTCGGCTCACTGCAATCTCCGCCTCTCCAGTTCAAGCGATTCTCCTGCTTCAGCCTCCCAAGTAGCTGGGATTATAGGCATGCGCCACCATGCCCAGCTAATTTTGTGTTTTTAGTAGAGATGGGGTTTCACCATGTTGGTCAGGCTGGTCTCAAACTCCTGACCTCAGTGATCCGCCCACCTTGGCCTCCCAAAGTGCTGGGATTACAGGCTTGAGCCACCATGCCCGGCAGGTCAACAGATTTTTAATACTTTGGAAGGACGTTAAATAAACGAGATCTTTATAGTGACAGATTCAATGAACTTATTAGTGACATAAAGGGCTCAATGAAACACACTAACTGGGATATTGTTACGAGTTTGAAAAAGTGAACTAACATACTTACAAATGAAATATATGGTGTATTTGGGTCTTCGGAGCTCCTGAATCATATAATCCACATTCTCCTAGAAAATGAAGAACAAGAGAACAAAATATGAGAAGAGTTGCTTAAGGAAAAAAGTAATAAGCATTACCCATTGATTTGTTTATTTACTGCATCTACTGCATATTGAAGTCTAGGTTAAGTGTTGCATATGTTGGTGGATAAGGGCTGGAGACAGATAAATTTTGTGCACATGTTGGTGGGTAAGGGCTGGAGACAAAAGAGATGAATACAATGATCAGGAATCATATATTATTTAATAGTATGTGTATAATATTAAATATTAACCAACTGCATTTTGGCCAAATTAAGATAAAGAATATAAAGGACACAGATGTTGAAATACAACATAAAATTGATTATAATTCTGCAAACTCACATCGAGCTGTTTGTCTATAAATTGTATTCACTTGCTCAAAATTCTTTTTTTTTTTTTTTTTTTTTGAGATGAGGTCTCACTCTGTCGCCCAGGCTGGAGGGCAATGGCACAGTCTCGGTTCAGTGCAACCTCCATCTTCCAGGTTCAAGCAATTCTCCTGTCTCAGCCTCCCAAGTAGCTGGGATTACAGGTTTGTGCCACCACACCCAGCTAATTTTTTGTAATTTTAGTAGACACAGGGTTTCACCATGTTGGCCAGGCTGGTCTTGAACTCCTGACCTCAACTGATCTACTGGCTTGGCCTCCCAAGTGCTAGGATTACAGGTGTGAGCCACTGCGCCTGGCCTGATCAAAATTCTTACCTAGAACATCAAATGTGTCTATTCCTTTAAAAATTAACATTCAAGAGAAAATATAGTTAATTATATTCACTTTGGCTTTTAATTTATTGGGATGTAAGACTCTGCACAACTACAATGTTTGTGAAGTATCTGCAAGTAGTAGGCTAAGATCTTTCTATAATTACATTAATTTAAAATAAAGTATAAAAGTTTAAAACAAAAAAGTTGATTTTTATATGGTCAAAATATAAGAATTCCGATTACATAAGATTATAATGCAGGTTTTATTGATTTTTGATACTATAATACCTGGTTAAATTTCAATATAAATTGTTCCCTAAACATATTTAGTAATTTGTTTTAAAAATCACCTTTCTTTACAGAATTAAAAAAAAAATGTAAGCAATGTATACTGCTTATTAATGGGGAAAAGGTTTTAAAAATTGTCATTTAGATTTAAAAATGCATTCAAATTAACTTTATAATATAATCTTAAGAAAAAAATTTAAAATATCTTTTAAACCTCAATTACTTCCTCGTAATATGCTAGGCAAAAATAACAAACTGAATTAAAAGATTCCTAAAAGTTCAGACAATGTGGAAAAAGACAAAAGAGAATATACAAAATAATAGAAAGAAAAAGGAAAGATTATTATTATTATTATTATTTTTTGAGACAGAGTCTTGCTCTGCCGCCAGGCTGGACTACAGTGGCGTGATCTCAGCTCACTGCAACCTCCAACTCCCTGGTTCAAGCAATTCTCCTGCCTCAGCCTCCCTAGTAGCTGGGACTACAGGTGCCTGCCACCACACCTGGCTAATTGTTTTTGTGTGTGTGTGTATTTTCAGTAGAGACGGGGTTTCACCATGTTGGCCAGGATGGTCTCGATCTCCTGACCGCGTGATCTGCCCACCTGGGCCTCCCAAAGTGCTAGGATTACAGGTGTGAGCCACCATGCCCGGCCAAAAGGAAAGATTCTTAAAAGAGTTTGAGAGACAGTACATAGCAGTCAAAGAGTTTCTCTAATAAAAAAATTAGGAAATAATGAACTAGATCATCTCTAAGGTACCTCTTGAAGCAAAATATCATGACTAAGAGCTACAAATATGAAACAATTGGAAACTATTATAACACAGCATGTGTTCATTAATTCAGCAACTATTCATTGAGTGTCCACTGTGTGACAGGCATTGGGAATATAGGGTGAGAAAAAACAGATATCATATCTGTTTTCATGGATTACTGCTGGTAATCACCCAAACCATACAAAAGTTCAAACCATGACACGCAATAGGGAGATAAAGATGGTTTTGTAAATGCACATAAGGGGCAGGTTTGACCTGGTCAGCAAAACCAGGGAAGGGTTACTTGAGGAAGTGAAGTTCCAGGCAGAAGAAGAAGCCTATGCAAAGGTCCTGTGGCATGACAGAACAAGGGGAATATAGTGGATTGAAAGATTAAGGTGATTAAGGTGCAGAGTGCAAAAGGGGAATGGTTCGAAATGAGGCTGGAGAAATGGTAGAAACCAGACCATGCTGCACCTTGAAGGCTACAATTAAGGACTTTTGCCCTTATCAGAAAAGCAATGAGAAGTCATTTAAGGATTTCAAGCAGGAGTGCCATGATCAAATTTGCATTCTGGAAAGTACGTATGTACAAGCATAATAAAGTGCATTAGAGTTGAAGAATATGAATATGAATCAACAAAGTATAACAGCCAGGCGCGGTGGCTCACGCCTGTAATCCCAGCACTTTGGGAGGCCGAGGAGGGCGGATCATGAAGTCAGGAGATCGAGACTATCCTGGCTAACACAGTGAAACCCCATCTCTACTAAAAATACTAAAAAGTTAGCCAGGCGTGGTGGCAGGCGCCCGTAGTCCCAGCTACTCGGGAGGCTGAGGCAGGAGAAGCGTGAACCCGGGAGGTGGAGCTTGCAGTGGGCCTGAGATTGCGCCACTGCACTCCAGCCTGGGCAACACAGGGATACTCCAAAAAAAAAAAAAAAAAAAAGAAAGTATTAAAATAGGAAAGGATTTTTAAAGGAGAGACTCAAGCTAGATTTAGAAGGTGATGGACAAAAAGTGACAAATGGCCAAATAACTTTTAATTAGTGGAAGAAAAAAAACCAAACAGTGAACAGGAATGAGCATGTAAAATTGCTCATTCCAACAGTAGCCCAGCTGGCTACAGAGGAGGAGCAGACCTAGGACACAGGAAGGCTAGATACATATGGGCAAATCAAACCAACAAAGGAGGGCTTTAACTGCTGGGCTAAATATAGATTTAATCATGGAAATAACATCAAACCACCAGAGGTTTCTGAGCATAAATGTGAATAAAGTGGTAAAGATTCAAGACACTCATAGCTGTATACGAAATTAAGTGTTGATGGTGTTCAATGTGACAGATACGGAGGTTAATCCAGGAATAAAGTAATGTGGGTCTCTGTTAAGAGTAGTTCATTAGTGGCAATGGGAATAGCTGTGAACCTAAAAGACATCTTGAAGGAAGAATTGGCTGTAAGGGGTCAACTGAAATATGGAAACAAAACAAGAAAAATGAAGGTTATAATACTGATGAACCAGGATAATTATGATGCCACAAATTATGAAAATACAAATTTATTTTGCCTTCTTAATGCTTTCAGATTAGAGTGTGCTGCATCTGCCTGGGCAGATGGAAACTCAGTTTATGCAGTACCTTTGTAGGTCGAAGAAAACAAATTGCCTTCAGGTGTTTCATGATCTCTCGATTTTGAGAATCAATGCGTTCAAAGAGGTACACTTCTTTCTGTAGAATCTCCGATTGTGTGTATACCATACTCACTATGCCAGTCTGTAAAAACAAAGGATTAACTAAAAGTATGCTAGTCTAGAATAATAAAAACAAGTAGCATATCTAAGCCTCTTTTTTCATTAATACTTAGCTGGATAACTTAAATAGTAATATACGTAATAACATTTACTGAACATCCAAACAGGTAGGTAACATACAAGAACGAAAAATACGCTCTCTCCTTTCAGCTGAAGTGTCAAGGTTAAAAACAAAAAACAAAGAAAAAACATGCTCTCTTTGAACTGGAACAATCCATACATTTCCAAAAATATTTTTTTCTATCACCTTAAAGAATTTTGTTTTCTGGTCTGTGGCCAACAAATAACCTGTCAGTTCAGCTTGAGCTCCAACAGCTTTACTTTTAAAACGCAATGTTGAGTGGAAACAGTAGGCCCATCCCAAAGTCTTCCAAGTGCTCTAACATATTAATGATTTATTGGCAGAGACATTTATTAAAAGATTTCTGATTCCAATAAATTGTTTCGGGTAGAAGTAGTCTCTGGGCAGTGGCTGGAGCCATTTAGACTGAAAAACCCACCGGGTAAGCTTTATACAACTTTTCAATTCCACACAAACTGACTCTTATTTTCATATCTTTAATTAAATGCTAAATCCTACTGTGGAATGGGACCAGCTATTGTAAGGTTGAGAGGGTTCCTTGACAAATGCTGAGCAAAAGCAAACTCACCGTCTCTTTATCCATGAGAAGTACTTTCATACCAGGCCCGCTGTCCTCTATCATTTTGGAAATGTACTGCTTCACAGCAAAAACCACGTTCATGGCGGCGAATTGACAAGTATCCCACAGCTCTTCCCGCCCCCTTTTCTGTCTAAATTAACCCCCAGTCTGTTGGCGGGGTCTCAGCTGCTTCCTCCCAGCCGGGCTTCGGCTTCCGGGAGTCCGGGCAACCACGGTGCTGGGAGTTGTAGTTCCGCTGGAGTGTACGGGGCACCAAGCCTATCCCGGGGATGGAAAAATCCGGCTGAGACGCCCTGGGCTGTTGCCACGCGCGGGCGCTATTCTCCTCCCACCTGCGGCCTGCATATGCCTGAGGCCCGGACTCTCAGACCTCTATTGCCCTTTGGTCCTGGAGGCCCAGCCGCAGCCTGAAGCCCAAGAGAGTGGAGCCTCGCGAAATGAGGAACCTGGCACAAGGTTTGCTTGGAAGCAGGAACGACGGAGCGTGGCCATGGTCCCTATTTGCCATTAACGCTTTCTTGCATGGCAGTGAGAGATGAGGGCAAGGGAGGTGGCATAATGCTCCCGGCCACTTGGGACTCGGAGAGACGGCATTTAATAAATCACACGCGGTATCTGCGAAACAGTGGTCGAGATTCGTCTTCCCGGCTTCACTGGGTCAGTAATAGGCGGGAACAGTGCCCCTGTGTTGAGGCTGCAGAGGCCCGAATTGGTTTTCCCAAGACAGAGGGGCATATGAAATTGAACATGAATGAATGAACAAAGGGAACGCGTTTTAGGGATGTTTTTGAAGAGAGGCCTGAGGTTCTCCAGGAGGGTCTGCAGCGCGGGTCGGCCGTGGGGGCTCTCAGCCCGCGTGACCACCGGACCTGCAAGCGTACCCCTGCCCCACCCCCGGCTCGGCGCTCTGAGCAATCGGACTCTGCCAGCTCCAACTCCGGCGGGGCGCGGGCCACCCGCGACGCTGAAACTGCAGGCAAGAGCGGAGTTGACTGGGTCCTTTGAAATGGGTAGGGGACATGTATCCGGTAGAACTAAAACAAACTAGCGTGGGGATTTGAAGCCAAAACCTTCAAGTTTTTATTGAATCTTAAAACCATCAACTTCCAAATGTCTACATTTGTGTTTACACCACACAAGTCTCCCCTCTATCATGGCATTTGTCGAAAAGGAGGGTAGATGTTTGTTTTTCGCACCTTTACTTTGGGGAATTGTAAAATCAGGAAGATAATAAGAAACAACTGTTAGAAATCAGTAACTAAAAATGCTTATGAATATTTTCACCAAAATAATGACCAGTGTTTGTGAGGTCAATAGATTCAGGATTACCAAATAAATTCTTTCATTATATTGTAAGAAGTACACAATTGAAATAGACCAGTAGCACTTTAACGTTAATCTTCTTAAGATTATGCAACATCATATACAATTTTCAAATCCCTTAAGGGAGATCAGAAACTACTGAAATATAAGAGATTTTTGTCACCTCTGAAATTGTGAAGAATATGTTTTTATTTTTTTCAGCTTTTCTACCAAGTAAATAAAGCTTCCATTTAGGCATTTTACTAATTTTTAGATGTGTTTTGAAAGAAAAGTCTTAAGTTATATATTAAAGTGAAAATGTGAATCTTTAAATGGATACAAGTAAGAAAAACTAATGTTATATGAACATTCCATTCTTATCAATTTAAATGTTCATATCACAGAAAACGTGGCAACAATGCTAATGAAAATCCTGTAAATCCTGTAAATTACTGATATTTGAAAATTCACCTCCAATCTCCCATGTCACTTGGTTTTTATTTTTCCTACCTATAATTTAGACTGCAGTATAGAAGACTTTTTCCCCCATTTTCTGTGCTTTTTTAAGAAAGAAGGAGATAAAGACTTGTCTATGAAATTTGTGCCTTTTTATTTATTTATTTATTTATTTTTTGAAATTTGTGCCTTTTTAAACAATAGTCAATTTGTAAGCAATATATGGAAAGAATCTGCATCCTTTTGATGATTTATACTTGGACACATAACTTTTTGAGGGAGGAGGAAAATACCTACTTGACAGCTTACTAATTCACTCCATTTTCCATAAAATGTAATTGATGTCAGTGGCAGTGATATTTTATACATTGAGTGATAAGATATGGAACATAAACATTTTGAACAAAATAATTATTACATATTTAAAGGGTGCTGTGATGGGCCTGAAGTTAGACAGCATGCTTCCTTCCTGAAGAAAACCACACAAGCCATTTTAAATGTCTCCAAATTAAGAACTTCTTTTGTATCCCCACACCTCTAAAATTAGGACTGAAACCAATGATAAAATCCAAACTCTTGCTTTGTAACTCATCCAGTATAAACCCAGAGTTACTTGTTTTGTTGTAGGCAAGTGACAGCAAATCCAGAATATGAAGTGCCTGCTTATTTTTAATTTAGGGTATAAATAAACTATAACAAGAAATATTTTCAATAGTAAAGACATTAAAAAATAAATCATGACATCCTTCAAATATGAATGATTACATTAACTTAAAATCTTCAACTTGAAAAATTTGTTTTCACTGGGTCCAAGAAATCAGTGCTTTAAGGATAGAAAACAGGAAGTCAAAAAATGCAGTGTTGGTCAGGCAGGTGGCTCACTCCTGTAATCCCAGCACTTTGAAAGCCAAGGCGAGGCCAATCGCTTGAGTCCAGAAGTTCAAGACCAGCCTAGGCAATATGATGAAACCCTGTCTGTACAAAAAAATACAAAAAATTAGTTGAGCATGGTGGCCGGCGCCTGCAGTCCCAGCTACTTGGGACGATGAGATGGGAGGATCACCTGAACCCAGGAGGTTGAGGTTACAGTGTGCCACTGCACTGCAGCTTGGGTGACAGAGTGAGACCCTGTCTCCAAAAAAAAAAAAGAAAAGAAAAAGCATTATTTACATTTGCACATTTTATTTCGGCTTGTAAATATGTAAGTTAAATAATCAGGAATGATTTAAATAATTGAATGTACTTCAGCTTTCTCCAAAGTGTGTACTATTTAGAGGTTTAACTACCCATTTTGTGTTTAATCTACACTTGATCTTAGCCAAAAGGCGAGAAGCAATTTTGTGTTTAATCAAAATCATGATTTTCCCCCATCAGAACTCAAGGCTTCAACACAAAACAAAGAATATGTAAATAAGCTTCAGTATAATTATAATAACAATATGGCCAACTCTTAGTTATTTTAGATTATTAATTCTCTATTTACAATAATCCTTGTTGCTTCATGTTAACACTTCTCTCATAAGCCATGGATAGGAAGGAAGTAAAGATGAAATTCAATGAAACTGAAGTTAATTAGATTTCCTACTTGATAACAATTGAAAAAAATATTTGCATAAAGAATGGCAGTATTGGCCAGCCACAGTGGTTCATGCCTGTAATCCTAGCACTTTGGGAGACTAAGGCAGGAGGATTGCTTGAGCCCAGGAGTTCGAGATCAACCTGGGAAACATAGCTAAACCTTGTCTCTACACAAAATTTAAAAATTAGCTAGGCATAGTGGGTGCATCTGTGGTCCTAGCTACTCGAGATGCGTGGTAGTAGGATTGCTTGAGCCCTGGAAGTCGAGGCTGCAGTGAGCCATGTTCATGCTACTGCACTCCAGCCTGGGCAACAGAGTGGGACCCTGAAAGAAAGAAAGAAAGAAAGAGAGAGAAAGAGAGAAAGAAAGAAAGAGAGAAAAGAAAGAAAGAAAAAGGATTGCTTGTATCATACAACCAGTATTTGTGCAGTGTTCTTAACCTCTCTAACCATTTCCTCATCAGATAAATGGTAATAACGTAACCTACCTCGTGAATTTGTGACAATTAAATGAAATAATGTGCAAAAAAGTATTTTACACAGTGCATGGTAAATGCTCAATAAATATCAGCTTTGATTATTAGAAATCAAAAGATAAACATGTTTTAGTTTATTTTTCACTTATGGTTATATGTATTTCCCATTGACAAGAAAATGTAAACATAGATCAATTTCAGCAAATGTAATCTATAGTTTCTAAATATAATTTCCATTAAGACTTGATCTTGTATTACTATACAATAATAGAAATACTAATGGGAAGATTTGACCTACTCCATCATAATTTGTAAAACATGCAATTTTTATGAAGAAAAAACTTAAGAAAAATATGCTTCAAATGATTTCAGAGGCTTAGTGTCTATGCAGCCTCAAATCAAACAGAATTTGTTAAATTTTCATCACAGTTCACTAACTGTGATGTGTTGAGCTTTACGGTAGCAAAAACATGTAATAGCTTTAAATCATTAAGTAAAAATTAGCTGCATGAAGAGTTCTGTCTGCACATTCAGTAATTTCATTATTTCACCTTTCTGAGTAGGTAAATTGATAATAGCCACAGTGAGAATATTATAGCTGACTTGGCTCGTAGCATGACTACCAACCGGCTATCAAATCCTGTGCAGACTCCTTTAAAATAACGATCCTGAATTCACACTTTTGATTACAAATAAGTTCACCATTTGTAGCATTTTGAGATGACCAAAGAAGCTGGATTTCTGTATGACAACCACTCCACAGCAAGAAACATTTCTCGTTTTTTTCTTTGAGACCGGGTCTTGCTCTGTCACCCAGGCTGGAGTGCAGTGGTGCCATCTCGGCTCACTGCAACCTCTGCCTCGGTTCCAGTGATTATCATGCCTCAGCCTCCTGAGTAGCTGGCACTACAGGCGCCTGCCACCAAACCCGGCTAATTTTTGTATTTTTAGTACAGACAGCGTTTCACCATGTTGGTCAGGCTGGTCTCGAACTCCTGGCCTCAAGTGATCTGCTTGCCTTGGCCTCCCAAAGTGCTGGGATTATAGGCATGAGCCACCATGCCTGGCCTAGAACCATTTCTATCTGCAAAAACTACAGGTAATATTCTCAAAGACCTGAGTAACTGAAAATTTAGTTAAATAAGATCTTTGCATTCCCAAGGATGAAATGATCTAGTCTGAGTGAAATTTTTGGTGATTTGAGCTTGTTATAAATATAAGTCAGGGCCACCCTTGGTGGTCACGCCTGTAAGCCTAGCACTTTGGGAGGCTGAGATGGGTGTATCACTTGAGGTCAGGAGTTTGAGACCAGCTTGATCAACATGGTAAAACCCATCTCTACTAAAAATACACAATTAGCTGGGAGTGGTGGTGCACCCCTGTAATCCCAGCTACTTGGGAGGCTGAGGCAGGAGAATTGCTTGAACCCAGGAGGTGAAGGTTGCAGTGAGCTGAGATTGCGCCATTGCAGTCCAGCCCGGGCGACAAGAGTGAAACTCTGTCTCAGAAAAAAAAAAAAAAAAAGAAAAGAAAAGAAAAGAAAAGAAAAAAAGAAACAAAATGTATATCAGGTTTCTCCCTTCGCTTTTTAATCAGTTCTAGACCATTGTATAGATTAGCAGCTTACAAAATGTAGACTGTGCACTATGGTAGTTTTGTAAGTTGCTCTGATATATAAAATAGAATGTGCTTTTGTTTAAGAGAGATTCCTAACTAACATGGGTAGAAAAGAACAGTTGCTCAGAGTAAGACATAACTTCTTGGGCAAAAGATTAGAAAAGGGAATTTGCTGAAAATGAAATAAATGATTAGTAAATGCGAAGAGATACTTAATGGTAATCTAAAAATTGCAAATTAAAGTCACAATGGAATTACCGTTTCATATCCAAAAATTAAAATGTCTGCTAATACCAAGTGTTGGTGAAAATGTAGAAAAACACTTCATATGTTGGTAGTAGAAGTGTAAAAATTG